AGTAGACGAAGACCGTTCAAAATTATATTATGCTTTGCACCTGTATGGCTGTACTACGGTTATAAATATTGCAGTATTAAATATAATGACTTAGGAAAAGTTTAAATAGACCCCTTCCCGTGTTATACACGTTGGCAGGCAAATGTATTTTAAAAGCTCCAAAGAGAGCTTCGTATTATTATGGTGTATTAAACACAATGGGGAATGTATTATTTTATATAATCGTAATTTGCCAGCCAGCAAAATATAAACAAGGCAAGGACAGCCAAGGTTTTATACTCTATACTATAGTGACCATACGGTAAAATCATACGACATATGCAGTAATAGCAGTATGGCTTGCCGTATTCTGTTTAGATACCGGTATATGTTATACATTTTACACTTTGTCTTTTGAATTTTATATTTTAGCAGACAGGTTTACAACTTTAATATAGCGATGCCGTTTGTTTTTACTGTATTTATTCTTAAATATTTGAATAAATTAGCGTAACATGTCAATCAAACTGTCGTCAACGTAAATTCAGCCAATCACAATTCTCGGCGGCTGGCTGCCGAGAGTCATCAATTTGACTAGGGCTTTCGGGCAGGCTCTACTTATAAAAGAGCCGGCCACGCTGGCTATTTTGTGTCCAAAATATTGAGCTTTATTCGACAACTATTTATATTTTCAAGCTTCTAGAGTATAATAAATTATCAAGAAACAACAATCAGGCTTTAATTTCAAGAACTCAAAACATAGTTAAACTGTTTGTATCATAAAAAGTGGGCTCATTTGTGCACATGCGCAGATCGGACTGTAGATCACCTTTAAGGTTATTAATATATATTCCTTTAAGGTTATTAATATATATTGAGTATTCAATATGTTTTGTGGGTGCCTAGATTTTTTAACCGGTTTTGAAACAGGTTTAATCATCTCTGCAAGTATAGTCCCCGAGCCGACGGCGCGAAGCGCCGTGCGAGGGTACTAATTCCCCCCGGCTATTTACACCCGGGGAAACGAAAGCACTAGCGAAGTCTAAAGTTCATCAAATATCGCGGGCGTGGGTCACTGTGCGTGTTTCGGTGGGTGGTCATCCTCACTGATCTCATAATATAGCGGACTGCAATGAATAGCCAAAACTGATTGGTCCAATTTAAAATTGGCATTATAACGGCTGCATGACGATTGCATGACGACAGGGAAATTGATTTGACGATTTCTTGCAAATATATTTCATTTTTGCAAGATTTTGTAAATTGCAAAGGATTTTTGATGAAATAAAGGCAAGAGGATTGCTAAAAGAAGGAAGTAAAGGTGCCGACGTTAACGAAGGTAAGTTTGTTTTAAATATTGATGCATTGTTTGCTTTTAATATACTGTAATCTCGGCTGTAATTACTTTAAAAGCCGATCGTTGCGTATATAAAATATGAAACAAGACAGCGTATTATTTCAGTGTTTCTTTATTGATTACATTTTTTATTATACTAAGCAAAGTTATTTACATGGGAGAATTTGGAATCATTTTATTTCGCACTCAAAGATTATCGATAAATTCAGTTTAGTTCTATGGTAAAAGAACATTTTAAAACGTTTTGCAAAGCGTTTGTGGTTGAATTTTACCTTAAATTCAAGCTTATATTACGTATAATAACATACCTAACATATATATTTTTAGGAAATTGATAACTTTGTAATTAAAAGTGATATTTATAAGGGATTTTTCATTTGTAAAAATATTCTTAAAAAATTATCGTGTTACCATGACAACTACTTAAAATACTTCACGTTCGGAAAATAAAATAGTTTTGGCAGCAAGGCGAGGGTTTCTGCATGCATGTATTTTCTAGTAGTAAAGTACAATGGCTTATTGTATTTTTAATCCACACACCACCTATGGAGGACATCCATTTTTTGGATCCGCTCCCTTGGAATTCCGCCGATGTTGATGATTTCCTGCCAGTGCCGCAGAGAGGTTGGCGGGGGCCCAGGGCAAATATTTTTTGGGGGCCCCCTATCCCAAAAAAATTTCCAGAAAAATTTTTTTCCGGACAACAACCTCCCCCCCCCCCCACAAATTTTTCGGTCAGTGTGCCATTTGAGGGGTAAAAAAATTTTCCGGACCAGTACATTGCTATTGCTTTCCAGTGACTTTATCTCATTTTTTTATGCCAAATTTCGGTACTTATCTCAAGAAAACAGATATCTTGTCCTTTGCGCGGAAATATTTAACACACAAAAAAGACTGGGGCCCAACAAAAAAATTTCAGGGGCCCCCAGCACCTCGGGGCAATTTGCCCCCCCCCTGCCCCCCTCTCGGCGGCTCTGTTTCCTGCCTACCCTCTGGAATTCTGCAGATTTTTTACAAATTTCCAGCCTACCACATGGAATTTCCACAGATTTTTAATGAATTTCTACTTATCCTTGCCCCTTGGAAATTCCACCGATTGTTTTTGACCTAGTCTCTGGAATTTCCTCATTTTTTGTTTAATTAATAGGTAACCATGCATCCCTTGGAATTTCCATGTTGTTTTTTTAATAACCTACCCCATGGAATTCCCACAGATTTTCTTTAAAATTTAGACCCTCCCTTGGAAATTCCTTCTTTTTTTGTTGAATTTTAGGAAGGGGGGTCTGGAAATTCCAGTATCCTCCATAGGGGAGGGTGGTGGTTTAAAAATGCAAATTATAGCCATAGGCTCATAGCCCGCTATGCCATAGGCCAATTTCCAAATTGCAGTGGAATGTTTTATATATATATACTAAAAGCAATCCAAAAACCAGTAAGTATGTTAGAAAGTAGGCGACATGAACAATGGAAATATTTACCTCACATTTGCCAGACGAAACAGCACCTGGAATACAAATACAAGTTTGCTTTCGCTTTGGAAGCGTGTTTGCTATAAACTACCACTGACATAAACAAATCACAGGAATATTAATTATACGGAAGTGAAAAATAAAACAAGTTAGGCTCGGTTCAGCGGTGCTGTACCGAACACATGCTAAGTACTTCATCTTGCACGGATACTTTTGTCCGTTTATAATTTTTGTTCGGATTCAAGATATCCGTAGTTAGCCGGCCGTTCTGCACGTTGTAACCAATAATCTATTGGGCCAACAATTACATAACCCCAACCTAATCCTGAACCTTGCAGGCTGAAACCGAGGCTATAGAATGCATTTTATAGAATTTAAATAAAGCCTAACCTGACTAACCTATATGGACTATTTATCAATTAATTAATTAAGATATTTTACAAAACTAGAATGCTGAAGCCTGAACGTTTCGCCGACAGCTAGGCTACCTCATTTGGCAAAAGGTTCAAAAATTTGAAGAGGTGCATGTTATGCACACATATCTAGTAACTCAGGGCATTTTTTAAGAATTCGTCAGTGGGGGGGCCATCTACAAAAAGGGACCATACTATACCGAGTGTGGAGCAATGATAGATGGTTTGTTGGTAACAAAAAGTTTGGTGTGGTATCGCATTTAATAGTAGGGGGGGGGGAGCAGGGCCGTAGGAAGCTCTTTTCGTTTGGGGGGGCTGAAAGCGAGGGCCGAAGGCCCGAGGAAATTTTTAAATTTAGAGTCTCTGAAATGCCATTTCCTGGACTTTGGGGAAATTTGCGATTTCTGATTTCAGAAAACAGCGTTTTTAGTATGTGGAAATTTAGAATTCAGTAGTACTAAATGGACGAAGGTGTATTTAATTAACGATATATTGGATAAGTTGCAGGAAAGTATGGGTAATATCTTCATTCTTTGCAGTTTGTCATGGATTAAATAATAAAGGTCTGCATGATTTTGAAAAATGAATGATTATTAGCAATAATTTGCTACGGCCCTGGAGAGGGTCTGGGGTTTTCTCCCCAGAAAATTTTTGTATTTTTCTACCCCTATGACTGCAATTCCCTGCATTTTCTGAAACAGATTTTTGGATATACAGCATTACATTATGCTGTAGATAGACTGAACCTCCAGTTAAGTACTTGCATAGTATGTTTATGTAGATACCACAACTTGGCCGTCACTTAGGGAGCCAGCTTGATAAACTTAGAGTTCCCGACTCCCACGAAGCGCCACCATGGTTGGCACAGAGCGGAAAAATTTTGAAAATTTTGCGTTTCTAAATCATCGGAAATGGCATTTTCAAAGTCTTCTATACGTCTTTTGTTCGCCCCTTTCATTAGTTCGTTCATTATGATTTGTGAGTCTATGATATCCGCGAGTCAGGATGGATTATTACGAGAAATGTTATCAAAATATCGATTACAGATATTTGATTATATGTATATATGATTTCAAATACTTCTAGTTTCGAAATCAAATTGGGTTTTTTTGGTGGGGGGCCAAAATTATCCCCCCCCCCTTATAAAAAACTTGGTTGAGGGCCTGTTGTCCCCTGCGGTCACTAACTTGTCCAACAACTCAAATCTATAGGGTCTGGGAAATGCAATCCACTGCCTGGGAAATGTTTAAAATCTAATAAGGTATTTATTAAACATAAAAGACAGGACATAAGATTCACACAGCAAATTTCAGTTACTAGAATATCAAACCTCCCTTCTAAATTCCATGTTTTGCTTATATTTTAGAGAAAAGGGACTTTGACTGGGGGGGGCCAAAATGGTTGAGTGGGGGGGCCACCATGGGGGCTGGGGGGGCTTTGGCCCCCCCAGTTATATAGTTAAAAAATGCCCTGTAGTAACTGAATGCAACATCTCTGAGTAAAAGTAGACATTTTCAGCACTTTTAGAAATTTCGGAAACCACCGGATATCCAGTCCTGCGTTTTCTTTCATTCATGTTTTCACACAAAAACGGATAAAAACGAAAGTCAATTGACGAACATCATGGAAATGTTTTCCTATGGACTGTGTGAACAGAGTGTCAAATTAATTTTGCTTCATTGTTATAGATGACGAGATAGTTGATAGATTCTGGACCTTTTTACCATTCTTGATCCAAATATTTCCAAATTCAATAAAATCATATTGGTGATTTTTTCACTGATTAATTATTTTTATGACCCCCTCCATTTATACCAAAACTATAAAAAGACCCACCCCTTTGAAGCATGTCAAAATTGGCTGACCCACCCCCAAATTCCTCCGGCCCACCCCCCAGCTAAAAAATGAATGCTCCCTAAAGGACCGGTCATAGAGTAACTGCTAGGGTTGGCCGGAGTGATTTGGGATGGGCCATGGAAAATCTTTGGGCAGTTTCGATGGGCCGCCAATTTTTTTGTATGTCCACGGTTGGGCCACCAACAAAAACCCATGCATGTCTACTTCAAAAAATAAAGATATTAATAATAAAAGTAAACAAAACTATCCTAAGTATCAAATACAAATGATGCTATTGAAAAGCCAGTACTTTGAAGTGGTCGAATCACAGCAAATACAACCAACTGGAGAGCAACTCAGTATCGTAACTGGTGATGAATGTGTTGGTCAAGCTTGGTGGAATTATGTATGTCAATACAGTGCCGGTGTATATTTACAATGTTCATACCTGCAAGTTGTTTTTTATTATAAAAGGGTATTTTCCCAATTTAGATTGGGTGGCCGTGGGTGGGTCATGAAATAAATTTGGTAAGATTAGATGGCCTTTGAAATTTTTATCTACATCCTAAGATGGGTTACCAAACTTATTGGCAAAATTTGTGATTTACCTCCAGCCCACCCTATAGCAATTACTTTATGACCAGTCCCTAAGTGAAAGTGAGGTTTATTGTTTGTCCAGGACTAAATGCTCGTATGTTAAATGGAGAATCAGAATAATGTATAAAAAGTGAACCGGAAATGTTGTTTTTATGGTGAAGTGGAAAACAGACTTAAGTTGTCGACGTCTTGCTGCTGTTATTGGCAAGCAAGTTAATTTTGCCTTGGAAATAAGTATGAATGACACAAATTATTTAATATCTTCACAACATTTAGTAATTTCTGTCACTCAGACTTATTTCCGAGCTAAACTGAACTAAAGTTAGTAAAGTTCACCTAGTCTCCTACGCACAACATGCTGCGTAGGAGACTAAAGTTCACCCTACTATGTGCGACTTGTCTGTTTATTTTGGCATGGGGGTCTTGGGGGATTTAAGAAATTAGATTTCGCAATCGTAGGAAATGACATAGCATTTGACCTTTTGTTACCTAAGCTTTGCACAATAATAGACTAAAAATAAACATATTTGATTTCATCTTTTAGGGTGTTTAATGTTTATGTCCGTTGTTTGCAAGGCAATGCTTCAGCTGAGAATGTCAGATGTATGGCACGGTTGCACAACTCCTACTTCGTCAAGCGTTGAGCATTATAAAAATGTAAGTATAGCTGTATAGGTTATTATTCAAGTTGATACCATCATAAATAATTATATAGAATTCTTCAAACGATTGGTGCACATTTTGCTGAAATTAAGTACTATTTAAAACACGAGTAGGAGTGTTTTATCAGATATACTGTATAACACGAGGCGCAGCCTAGCGTGTATATCTGATAAAACACGACAACGAGTGTTTTGAATAGCTTAAAATACGCTACAAAAGAATACTAATTAGGATGAACCATAGTATAATCATACTAATTAAGATGAACAATTATATAATGCCACATGTGTTTTATCAGATAAAAAGTCACTCCACGTGACATATTATGGCTGACATGATTTGCCACAAGGTTTATGAATTATTAATGAGTATTTTAATTATGTTAATAATATTTCCTTAGGGAGACCATTTCTTCTCAACCAGTTGTCATGTACTCGGCTGGGCCTATCACTGACCTTTTTCCAGTTTCTGAGAAAGCCAAAGAACTGCTGGCCAAGACAAAAGTATTCTTGAAAGAGAATGTGCTTCCTGGCGAGAAGGTTTATACAAAACTCTCATGCTTTATAATTGGATGTAGCCCGTGTTATAACAATCATTGATCGTTTGATATATTTGTGGTTTAGGAATACTTTGAATTTGTGTGTCCAAAGACAAAGATGCTTCGCAAACTCCACCGATTCTTGCATCATTAAAGGTAAGGAAATGATGTAAATGATGTTTACAAGCAGAACTTCGACGCTTCGAGCGAAGGCTCTTCGTCGAGAAGTTATAATACCATGAAACGCAGGGGCGGATCTAGTCTCATCTGCAAGGAGAGGTGCACGTTCTCCATGGGGTGGTGCATGAGGGAGCCTTACTGCCCACTCTCCTGTGCAGTCTGCAACGCTACTATCCCAACATTTCCATTATTTGGGATGGCCGAATCCTGCGAACATTCGCCATTCTGTTACGTTTTATATTATCTTGTTTTGCGTACTAATAACAGACAAGTATATTTTAGGGCACATGGCATCGTCGCAACACTTATGTCTGGTGCCCAATTTTTCTTGTTCAAAGTTTTGAACGAGCTTTATGCTCCTGGACGTAACGTGTTTAAATAAATTATTCATTCTTTCACTCGTTCGTTCGTTCATTCATTCATTCGTTCGTTCATTCATTCATTCATTCATATAATAGTTACGTTTTTGGCTGATCTAAATTGTGAAACTGGTGGCTAAACGTAATTGTAAAAACTGCGTATAACGTTCGGATTTTTTATTAAATTGCGGGGAAATGCTGGTTGCAGTCCACTCGTATATGCAAAGCATTGAATTTTTCTTCTGAATTTTTTTACCAGGTTGTAAAGAATCCGCCTTCCTGTACGCAATAACAGCGGCAGGCGTGGCTCACTCTGTCACGAAGGCGTGCAGTTCTGGGATGTATTCGAGTTGCGGCTGTGATAGATCGCTAACCGGACGCCCTTCTGGGGACTGGGCATGGCGTGGTTGTCATAGCAACGTGAAGTTTGCCGGGGTGTTGACGAAGGAATTTTCAAGCGCCCGCGTTTCGAAGACTGGGCATGTTGAGCGGAAGAAAATGAACAGACATAATATTCGTGTTGGGATAAAGGTATAGGTGCTTCGTCGCCTACACGCGTAAAAATCTCGCATCTTGTAGCAAGTTTGCCAACAAGCCGTCAACAAGTTGTGTTCGCACTGCTTGTCCCAAGTTGTCAACAAGTTTGGAACAAGCTGTTAACAACTTGTAACAACCTTGTTGATATTATCAGAATTGTTGCCAGGTTGTTCCAGCAAGTCCGATACAGTCATGATATAACAATATTGTTAGTACAACCTTGTGTTGTCAACCTTGTAACATTCTCGTTATATCATGACTGTATCAGACTTGTTAGAACAACCTTGTAACAAGTCGGATAATGTCATCAAACTTGTTACAAGTTGTTAATAGCTTGTTCCAAACTTGTTCCAACAACTGGGAACAAGCAGTGCGACCATAACTTGTCGACAACTTGTGAACAGATTTGTAACAACTCGTTTGCAGACCTGTTACGTGTGCACATGGGTTTTACTAAGGCAATCATAATGAGAAAAGTGGGAAGGTTGGGTTGGGTTGGGTTGGGTAATAAACTCTATTGTCATTTCCAAACCAAGAAATCAATCCAAGTCACTATCTTCATAATTTTCGATTTGTCAGGAGGCAAATGGTGTCTCCAAAGAAAGTACATGTGCAGACAACATGAAACTTAGTTTGCAGATAACTGCACATGCAGTTATCAAATGTCACAGAAGTTGTAAAGGACATCTGTCACAACAGAATGGTATCCTTTTGTAAAGTTTTTGGCCAAGGATGGATATTTATTTTTTAATTGATATTTGAAGTAGAGGACAACATTTTTTTGACTTTTTAATGGTTGGATCAGCACAATTTTTGCCAAGAAAAACATTTCTCAATTTTCAATGCTGTTTTTTTTCAGGCGTTATCGCAGCTTCTGTATAGAAAATGCAAGTGTCATGGTGTTTGTGGTTCTTGCGAGTTAAAAACGTGCTGGATGCAACATCCTACAGAATTTGAAAATGTAGGGAAACGTCTTTTAACGAAATACAAAACCGCCATTGAAATGGTAAAGACCAAACGAGGCCCAAGTGTCTTGCGTATGAAGGACAAAAGCTCGCAAAAACCTAATCCGGACGATCTCATCCATTTCCGATCATCCCCGAACTTTTGCGATGTGAATACGAGGCTAAGGACCCCCGGGACATCAGGTCGTGTTTGTAATGTCACCTCATCTGGTATTGATGGTTGTGGTATTTTGTGCTGTGGACGGGGGTACAATATTCAAGTCCTTACAGAAATGGTCAAGTGTAACTGTCGTTTTTTCTGGTGTTGTCATATAAAGTGTGATACGTGTAAAAACACGCGGGAAATATATACCTGCAAATAAGGCGGTTGTATAACTGGCTGCCTGTGTGCGGGCTGTCTGAAGAAGAGAAGTCTCGCAGTGTTGAATGACTGCTCGTATGACGTGAATCATTAGTCCGTCATCTAGTACAAATGGCGAGACAACTAACATGCCTATAGGTTGTACATTATGTAAATGGTATGAAAATTTCTGTATAGTTAGGTCGCCTGAGTAATTTCACATTTTATTTATTAAAATCCATTACCTGGCGGTAAGCCCCGATCAACTAGTATGAGAGTCAAGTCTTCGAAAAAAACTCTCATATATTCCGAATAACAGTTCATTTTAAAACCCAAAGTTTGAGAAAGACAAGAGGAGACAAGATTCAACAATAATATTTCGAATTTACAGAAGAATTTGCAATAATATAACTGTCAAATCTTTGTCCCCCCTTATGTTTCTCAAATGTTGAGTTTCAAGGTGGAATTTTTATTCGGATTTTTTCCCCAAATTTACGGCCATTTGCTTTTTTTGTGGCTATAAGATAAATTGACAACCTCATTTCCAGGCTTTTCCCCGACTATATCTTTGAAAGAATCTTTCTCATTGCATTCTTGCTTCAACGGTTTGATAATTGATACCAAGTTTTTGTTAACTTGATATGACAACTGAATGAAACTAAAACAATTTATAATTTGGCATTAGGGCCAGTAATCTTTGTGCACTATGGCTGTTGAACAGCTTTATTTTACTTATGTAATATGTGTTCAATTATTGAGTTTCAGTACAGTACGCAAATTACACCTATATAAGAGAAAGGAAATTACCAAGTATAAAACTGCGAATAACTTCAGCCTTTTGACTACCATATATGTTGCACGATAATGCTAGTGAAACTCACCTGTATAGGCTTTGATGGGTAATGTATTTATATCATGTAATTATAACCGTGCATAGTTTTGATTAGATTTCAGGATTTTATTCAGTTATTCTAGAGGGTACAAACAAACAAACAAACAAACAAACAAACAAACAAACAAACAAACAAACAAACAAACAAACAAACAAACAAACAAACAAACAAACAAACAAACAAACAAACAAACAAACAAAAACAAACAAACAAACAAACAAACAAACAAACAAACAAACAAACAAACAAACAAACAAACAAACAAACAAACAAACAAACAAACAAACAAACAAACAAACAAACAAACAAACAAACAAACAAACTAACAAGCAAACAAACAAACAAACAAACAAACAAACAAACAAACAAACAAACAAACAAACAAACAAACAAACGGACTTGAAAATATGGCTTGGCGGAAGGTAATGTGGTTTGGAACTTCGGAATTTTATCCAATAAATTGATCATGTAAAATGTTCTGGATTAGATTATTTATTGACTACACACGTAAAAACGCACAAGTTGTCACAAACCTGCAGCAGACTTGTAGCAATTCTTCTCCAACAACTTGTCATCAGAATGTGTTCGCACTGCTTGTTCCCAGCTTGTTGACAAGTTGTCAACGGCTTGTTGACAACTTGCTACAAGGTTGCTGGAGCTCAACAGACTTGTTACAAGTTATTCCAACAACTTGGTATCGTCCTGCCATTCACCAATTTGTCAACAAGTTGTGAGTGACAACCTCGTAGCAACATGATAAAATAACAGCATTGTTACAACTTGTTGACAAGCTTGCTATACTCCTGTTGAGAACACATCTTGTTGACAAGTTATGAGATTTTTGCGTGTGTAGGTCAGTGGACCACACACGTAAAAACGCACACGTTATTACAGGTCTGCGAACAAGTTATTACATATCTGTTCACAACCAGTCGACTACGCACGTAAAACGCACAAGTTGTAACAAACCTGCAGCAGTAGCAATGATGTTTCAACAACTTGTCATCAGAATGTGTTCGCACTGCTTGTGCCAAGCTTGTTGACAAGTTGTCAACGGCTTGTTAACAACTTGCCACAAGGTTGTTGAGCTTGACAGACTTATTACAAGGTTGTTCCAACAACTTGTTATCGTCCTGCAATTCAACAATTTGTCAACAAGTTGTGAGTGACAAGCTTGTAGCAACTTGATAAAATAACAGCATTGTTACAACTTGTTGACAAGCTTGCTACAAGCCTGTTGCGAACACATCTTGTTGACAAGTTGTGAGATTTTTACATGTGTAATAAAAAGCTCCATACGTAAAAATCTCATATCTTGTAACAAGTCTGCCAACAAGCCGTCAACAAGTTGTGTTCACAATGCTTGTCCCAAGTTGTCAACAAGTTTGGAACAAGCTGTTAACAACTTGTGACAACCATGTTGATTTCAGCGGACTTGCTGCAAGGTTGTTTCAACAAGTCCGATACAGTCATGATATAACTATTGTTACAACCTTGTGTCGTCAACCTTGTAACATTTTTGTTATATCATTACTGTATCAGACTTGTTAGAACAACCTTGTAACAGGTCTGATAATGCCATCAAGCTTGTTACAAGCTGTTAACAACTTGTTCCAAACTTGTTACCACAACTGGGAACAAGCAGCGCGAACACAACTTGTCGACAGCTTGTGAACAGATTTGTAAAACCCTTGTAACAACTTTTTTTTCTTTTTTTTTTAAATCAATTTATTGGACCATGTCCAAGCGGTAGAGTGCGAACGGGACTCAAAGTCCCAATGCGTGGCACTCCCCGTTACAAACTGTAAAGATTTCTTAAATATTTACATTAATAATAGCTATGAAAAAACATATGCCAATTACTTGAGCACCAACCAATTCTTAAAACCGCACAACAGTACGTTTACACACAAACGATCGGTTGGCCGATTTCAGGTATTGCCGAATGTTACAGTAAAATGACAAAAGTTATATGAGTTGACAACACAGAGTAGACAGATATACAGAACTACAACTAGTGTACCCACCTTTTTGTGTACGTGCTCGGCAAGTTACTAGATGCATGCATGCATCTCATTGGATGGCGGTTCGCTTTAACCGCTCGCGGAACTTGCCGAGAAGCGCAGTTGATAATTTTTTTACCCGGTCGCCTAAAAAAATGTCTGTTTGCAGACATGTAACAATTTGTGCGTTTTTTAATACGTGTGTAGTTGTAGCCTGTTGTCAATAAGATGACAACAAGCCGTTCACAACTTGACAACAAGATGGGAACTCAGTTAGTAGATTAACTGTGGTTTGGATTAGATTAGGATTAGCAGGTCATCTTAGCCCGCGTGCAGGCCGAGCACGCGGGCTAAGGTTATCCGAGATGACGTCACAGGTAAACATTTCGCAATAGAATGCTTTAAAATTCCAAGATGGATACCAGCGAAGTTCGTGCAGAACACAAGTTTGATAAAATTGCTCTGGATAAATATCTTGCGCGATATCTTCGTGGTTATCCTAGCAATTCAAATGAAAATCTGGTCGTCCGCCAGTACAGGTATTACGTTTTTGTACTTTTCGATGCTCAATTTTCGTACAGAACTGCAGACGTATTTGTGAAATTTATATGTAGTTTTTGCATTAGTATTTTAGTGGGGGGGGGGGGAATTTGAAGCAAAACCGCGATCCGACAATGGTCTTGTCTAAATTTGAATCCGCTAAAAGCTCTACTATGAAGTTGCAATCCAGGAACCGAACTATAAATTGCAAACTAAATCCACAATCCGAACCAAAATATTAGATAAATCCGCAATTCGCTGTATTAAAGATGCGGTACAGTCCGATCTGCGCATGTGCACAAAGGAGCCCTCTTTTTATTTACAAACAGTTTATTTAGGTTTTTATTTCATTTTATGTTCTTGCAAAGCTTGATTGTTGTATCTTGATAATTTATTATACTCTAGAATCATGAAAATATAAATAGTTGTGGAATAAAATTCAATGTTTTGGATACCGAAATGTAAACAAAGGCTTTGTTTATATACGGACTGTACCGCATCTTTAATAAGATCTACAAATCCGTGTAAAATATTCACCAGATCCGAAATCCGAACAATTTTTTCTGTGAAATCCGACAATCTGAAAACCTATTCACCCCCCCCCATTAGTACATTCCATTTTTTCGCTTTCATCAGACCTTCCAACTTTGTAGCATGAAAATGAGTGAGATTTAATTATTTCTTGTAATCTGAGTCATATAGCCTGCCGACGGCGGCCTGCCGTTGGCAGGCGTTGACCAAGGGGGGTTCGGGGGCATGCCCCCCCTGAAATTTTTTAAATCTGGAGTCTCTGAAATGCCATTTCCTGCATTTTGGGAGAAGATTAACAGAATTCTAAAGGTACAAAAATGGCATTAAATAATCTCAAAAGTAACACTTTTTGGACATCTGCATGCAATTATAAGTTTCATTTATTTTTTTATTTCGTTAATATTGTTTAAAAAGTAAAAGTCATTCTAAATTTAAATGTTAATGAGTTATAGTTTGCGCTTATGTGCTTTGTTGTATTCATAAGTAGCAGATTTAGCTGCTTTTAATGCTAATTCATCACGCGAAATTAATAAGATTATAGTTTATATTTTACATAAAGCGTTGTCTGGGGAAATCCCTCATTAACTAAGTGTCAATTTACTAATTTGCGCAATAGTGCAACTTTTAATACGCAATACTATGTTACACAGCAACTGCTCGAAAAATACTTTATTTTATAGCTATTGATTCAGCTAAATAGGAATATTTGCTTGCGAAGAGAAGCATTAAAACAAAAGTTGGATCGCTTCCTATTTTTTCGCTTTTGCGTGAGAAAATAGTGTTTATGCGTGTGAGCGTGAGAAATATGTCAAATGTGTGTGTCTCACGCAAAATGCGTGAGAGTTGGAAGGTCTGCTTTCATGTTTAGGTAATATTCTTTTACATATAGTACCTATACAGTAGGTACAGTCCAAATACTGTGGAATTGGGGATGACCCAGTCATATGAAGTCATTGGAGTATTAAAGGGTGGGAGGGGGGTACCCTTGCTCTACCACTGTAGCAGATAACTGTTTTTGTATGGTGTCAAAAAGTGGGTGTACCCCTTTATTCCCCATTAAACGTTCCTTTCTCAGTAATGTTTTCATGTGTAGACATGGACAGTCGAATCCAACATTTTACATGAGGAAAGGGTCTCAAGAGTTTGTAATGAGAAAGAAGCCTCCTGGCAAGTTACTCAGACATGCGCACCAGGTGATGTCAAATATATTTCAATTTTATTCCGGAGCTTTGAAATAACGGTCGGATATCAGACATTTTCTGACCAAATTACAGTTTGTCCAACCAAATCATAGCTATGAAATAAAATGTATGACTAAATTTAAATATTTTCAGTCATTTTGGTTGGACATTTTTTCCAAACAATTTTCAAAGGCTTCATTTGCTGTTTGAATAATTATTCGATGCTATAAGTCCAGTTTAGGTAGATTATTAAACTGCATGCAATGTCTCCTAAAGGCCCTAATTTATACCCTTCTCTGACTGTTATATTTTAAGCTCAGATGAGAACCTTGTGTCATCTGATGCATGGTAAAGAGAGAGTTGCTTTGAACAACTCAAAGTGTGGAAAAAAGTTAGTTTGTTAAAAAAAATTGCATCTTTACCTGTGTATTACAAACAAATCACATTAAAAATCCTCAAAGTGGCATTGCACCCTAGTGTAATTGCTTTACTTTTTTATTTTACTCTGTGTAATGCCAGATAATTTTGCTCATCAAAGTGACCCAGTGATAATAAAGCACTCTGTCTCTCTTTTCCTCATTTTATTCTCTCTAAGTCCTGAGGTTTTCACTTATCAACTGAAGATCAAATATTAATGGATTAATTGATGTATATACTTCAATATCTATCTTACAAATATAGGTTGAAAGAGAATTTGACTTTACAGAAGCATTGCACAAAGTGGGTTTTCCAGTTGCAACACCTTTACATTTATGTCAAGATGTTTCAGTTGTTGGTACTGAGTTCTACATCATGGAACATGTCCAGGTCTAATAAATATTTAGAATTAATTAGGTTTTAATTATGAGGCTACAGTTGTCACTCCTTTGGTGTAATAATTAGGTACAGCATATACCTTCATGCAGCATGTCATAGGTGGCAGAAGATTGGTTTGGTTAATTAGAGGGTGGGGGCTAAACAAACTCTGCAGGTCTTCGGGCCCAGACTTTGTAATCTTTGAAATAGCATTCAGTGGGTTCTGAGGAAGATTTGACATGCAGAAACTTCAATACGTTCCTCCTACAACAACTGTTTCAAGTCACACAATGGGAAATTATGAATATTTAACATCTAATAAAACCTTGAGGGCTTTAGCCCCCCCCCCCCCCCTGGTTCTGCCACTTGCGATTGATGTGGCAGGATCTAAGTGGTTGCCACTTAATTTGTAACTCAAGTTGTCTGCAAGATTTCAAAAGATTTTGAGGGGAATTTTCTCTGGAACATATCCACAGAGTAACTGTGACTATGTCAAGTACTATATGTGCTCCTCATTCACCCCCTCCACTCAGCAGCCCATTATTTTGTTTCTGCCATAGGTTTTTCTGATAATAGATAATTAATGGATAACTTGCATGTTAGGCTAAATTTTAATCTAAGTATTAAGAGAAGGGAATCAAACATCACAGCTAAAAAGAACATCATGAAATTATTAAAATTGCAAAATTTGGTTTCGAAATGTTGTAAAGCTTGGAAAATATAATCTTGCAAAATTTGCAAATTTCGTATACATTTGTATTACGTGCGGAAATTGTTACCATTTTCGGCTCAAAAATGGTAACAATTTCCACACGTAATACAAACATATACAAAATATGAAAACTTCGCAAGGCTATATTTTCTATTTTTCTGTATTTTACAACATTTCGTAACGAAATTTTGCAATTTTACTCATTTTAATAAGTTCTTAACAGGAATTTACTTTTTTTTGCCTGGATCAAAAATTAGTTTAACATGCAAGTTGTCTATTAGCAACGACTTAATTGCCTCTGCTTCCGTGTGGTAATAACTGTTAAAAAGCCAAATAATGGACCAATCCCATATTAATAAAGATTTTGATCTCAACAAGTCTAGACAAAAATTCCATCACAGCATGAAAGAGCATCACAAAATTAGTAATATTCCAAAGTTTCGTTGCGAACTGTTGTAAAATGCGGATAATATAGTATAGCCTTACGAAATTTGCAATTTTCAGTCATTTTGTATTACGAACGGGAAACGGTTACCACTTTTCCAAAATTTTGATCTCAACTAGCCTAAACAAAAATTTCATCACAGCTTGAAAAAGCATCACAAAATTAGTAATATTCCAAAGTTTCGTTGCGAAATGTTGTAAAATGCGGATAATATAGCCTTGCGAAATTTGCAATTAATTTTCAGTCATTTTGTATTACGCGCGGGAAATTTTCCGAAGTGGTAACCGTTTCCCGTAATTGTAATACACAAAATGACTGAAAATTACAAACTTCGCAGGTCTATATTATCCGCATTTTACAACTGACATTGCATTTCGCAACGAAACTTTGGAATATTGCTAATTTTGTGATGCCCTTTCAAACTGTGATAAAAATTTTGTCTAGACTTGTTGAGATCAAAATTTTGGTTAATGTGGGTTTGGTCCAGTCCCTCCCGTTTTAACTGAACAAGATAGAAGGCAGTTGCAGATTGAGAATGATACATATAAGCTAGCCTGCGTAGCAGGCGCCTTTTCTTCTCCCGCCCGCACTAAACGCCTGCTACGCAGGCTACATATAAGCATAATGCATGAGTCAATTCCAGGAGTAACCATCCCCCCCCCCCCCCCCCCCCCCCCCCCC